AACACTGTTGAATGTAAGAAAACAATGGTTATGAACAAAAGTGGCCGCATTATTGTACAAGTGTATGAATAGCGTGACCAAAAATCTCTCAGTACGACTACGCATTTACGTGAGTGTTAAAGGCCATTGTGTTTAACAAAAGAAGTATAAAAAATATTTCTTCATTCTTATCAAGGCAAACTAAAGTGATAATGACAAAAAAAGGCAAAGCATTTTCACTTCAAACGTTCAAAATCATTTTTGGTTTATAAAGTAACTTTTCAATTTATCCATGATGTACTGTGAAAAGAACTAGGTAATAGATAATTGAATCTGGTAACAAAGGAGTTTTTTTTATCATTTAAAGTGTTATTAGGACGAAAGAGTTTTTTATGTTTGAGGCCAATTTTATTCATAAATCCATCGCAATATTGCAGTTGACTTTTCACTATAGGGCAAGTTTATACGAGAACAAGAAATATACGCCGTAAGTTTTCTCTCATAACGCATACACTAAACAGTTATTATAGGACCGACAGATCACATCACACCGAGGTAATGCAAAATAAACTAATACTTCGGGTTCAATGCGCTACCAAATAATTATATACAAATTTCTTCATGTTCTTTGAAAATGGTTTCTAAATATATTAAGTCTTGTACGGTAAATGAACGACAGGTCAGTGTATCAAATATTTTACGTCAACAAATATACAGCCTCCAATAATCATTATTTTCTAGAATCAGATATTCCACTATAAGACCAAAGTATTTCAGAAATGTCGATCTTTCTGAAGCAAATATTTCTAATTGATGTAATTGCAGTTTTTCTTTTCTAAGAAAAAGAAATCTAGTTCCAGAGTCAACAGGCCCGAGGTCAAATCCTCCCATACGTTTATTTAGTTGGTTGAGAATAAATAATTTTGATTGATCGATAAATTATAAGATCATTTGAAATATATTGTAAGGATCAACCCCTTCAAGAAAATCTTGCGCTATCAGGAGCAGAATTCTCAGTCGAATGCAAGGAATTTCTTAAAAATGCAATACTCCGAAATACCAGTCTTGCTCATATCGTTCAATTTAACATCATCATAATTTGCAACCGTTCTAATTAAGTCAATTTTTTCAATTGTTTATAATTTAAGTCTTTTTTGGGATACCTTGCAAAACTTACATGGATAATTGGCTGGAAAACTGCACGATACCAGACTTCTGTGTACACCAATAGTAGAGCAAGGCAGGTTCTGGATTTACATTCCTGCACCGACATTTACCGACATTTTAGGATCCTTCATAGGGTCGTATCCGTGATAAGTTGGTGCCGTGGACTCCCGAATTATCTGGGTCTACGTCATCGAGCCTCCCTGATTGCAGAAATTTCAGTTCAATTCCAGGAATTTTTCATTAAATTTTGAGAAGTGCGTGCGACCGAGAATCTTCTAGAACCTGCGACAGTTCGTATCCGTGCTAAATCATGCAGGATGGTTTTCAGCCCTCTTGTGTAATGTTTTACAGCATCCCTCTTTCTTCCAATCCCTAAAGATGTTCTGAAACCGTCGACGATTTACGTTCTCGTTACATCGACCTTGAACGTTATCTCGCAACTCACCCGCGTCGTGTCGGCGAACATCAAAGAGACGACGAACGACGCTTTGCGAATTGCCGAAAAAGCGGTTCCAGGAATTTTTGCGCGTTCGATTCAGGAGTAATTGCGTCATAAGATGGAGTTTATTTAAAAATAATAATTAGCAAACTTCAGACAATGAAGAGTGTCCTATAAAAGGGTGAGCTAAACGCCTCTTCATCAGCCTGTCGTTACTATTTCACCGATGCAAAATATTGAGAAAAGGCGTGAGCTGCAAGTTCGAATAAGAACTCTTTTGAAGAACATTGAAGAAGTCAAAAGTATAATTCAAGTGAAGATGGACAGTGACGATCTCGTGAAACGTTTGAAGATTCATAATCTGAAGCGACATTTTTCGAAAATCAACGTAATCGGACGAATGGATTATTTTCTTCGGATGAAGAAATTGGCGGAACCGGATATTCAAAAAGAATATGGAATAACCAAAGTGAAAAAGGTTCAAACAAAATATGGATTAAGATTGAACGTTGACGTAGAAAACGCATTCTCAACGTTTTTACCGGCGAGGACAGTGAAAGTATTGAAGTATGATAATGATTCCTTTCAAATGATGGTGAGTACCAGCAATGAGAATCGACTCTTCGTGCGTTATCCCAATGGACCGTATAATCACATTGAATTTCAATATTTGTAAATATTTATGCTCATGTTCTTATTACAATGTGACTTTAAATATAAAAAATAAGCAATTCCTTAATAGTTTAACTTTTTCAGTCGGACAAGTGAAACGCGGTAATTGTTTTCCCCGGAATAGGGGTGGTTCACTCCTTAAACTCCTAAATCGATAGCTTTTTTTGTTAGAAAAATGTTGCACTTTTCAACTCCTATAAATTTGTATGCATCACCCACCAGAACCGACTGAAATGCATTTTTCGTTATTCATCATAAAGATTATCCTCCAATTGGTCTCATTTAAATATCTCGACTGGAAATGTGGGAAACTGCGGAAACCGCCCTCGCGGAGCCCAAATTTGGGGGTTGATTTCAGCCTTTAAAACCGTTTTCCCGCCGATAAAAAAATACGTGTCTCTTATCTAATAGCGCGCTTTTAAATGATTTGTTAGTGAGTTTAAAGGTGACCGTATTCAGAACCGCTTTTATGGTCACTCTTAAGGTCACTAACAGCTAGTAGCGCGCTATTAGCGAAAAAGCCTATTCAGAACCGCTTTTAAGCATTTAACAGCGCGCTATTAGGCGCCATCGTGGGACTAACAGCGAGCTATTCGAAGATGTGGGCAGGGGCATGTTTAAAGTGACAGGTCGCTCAAATATGGTGGACCAGATGGTGGCTATTGCCGAGATAATTGAAGTCCGCGAAGTTAATGAAATGAGAGTAAGAAATCGGCAAGTTTTTCGAGAGAGACGTGATCCGTTTCGTACGTGACGTCATCCTTAGGCATTTCGGCCGTGTTGAATGCTCAGAGGCTATCAGATTTGTGGGGATCTTCATCCTCCACAAAATTTTCCAGCCAAATTTTATTGATTTTGAAATCGAGCCCAGAAGGTTTTGAGAGAGCAGAACCTCCACCTGTACCACTCGCACGCTTGCGATAGCAAGAAATAGTCTTCTTTGCTGTGAGTTTCCACCGTTGCTATGCATCTCTTATATCTTTCCATTCCCTCTTAATTCCAGTCGCTGCCATTTTCTCTGGTAGTTTCATTCATTTGTCTCTTCTACTCTTTTGCAATCAAGCATTATTTGCTTTATTCTCTAGTATATCACGATTGTCGCTTACAAATTGTATGACTAATGCTTTTTCTTCGAGGGTGAAATTCTCCTTTCGTTCCATGATAATCTACAACCATTTATTTATTTTTTTCATTTTCATGTCATGCCTGTCTTATAATAGTTTTAACGTATTAATTGAATATTATTAGCTTGGCTTCAAGAAAGGGAGCAGTTGAATTTCGAATTTCAAATATGGTTGCTGTTTTCACCAAATATGAAGTTCGCGCTTTCCGAATGCCACCGAATACTCCCGGACATAATCGAATATGCCCGAGTCTTCCCGAATGATTCCGAACGCGGTTGAAAGTACATGTTACAAGACGTTGATCCCTGTTAGCGTACCTTTAGCTAAAAGCGGCTTAAAAGCGAGTTCTGAATACGGTCACTAACAACTCGGCGCAGTCACTTTTAACTAATAGTGACTCTGTTAGTGATCTTAAGAGCGAATTCTGAATAGACTTTGATGGATAATAAGATATTTCTTTGATGGATAATAAGGGACACCCCAGGTACCTTCCTTGTCAGTAATTTTCTGCTAACACTTTTTAGGAATTGTTATAGTCTGTCATAATAGGGTAGCTAACAGCTGAGTAGGCTGCATCGGCAATGGACTGAGTAACGTGCTGAGGTTACACTTCCTAGCGAGACTACTGATTAGTTTATTATCAATGCTGTAATATATAACATCATTACCTCGCCATGCAACTGCAACCGACATAGGGAATAGTTCTAAATCACACGTGTAGGGTTATCTAAGAGAATAACATTAAATAAAATGAACCCATCCAATTGATTTCTATGCTAGAACCAGTCTCAGATGGTACAATAGTTCTGAATAAACCTTTAGGCATAATACATGCCACCATGTCACGGGTTATTCACGTAAAACCCACCAGCTGAAGATAAACGCAAGAGAACGATTCCGTTCATCGTGGCAGTGTAACCTCGTTTAATAAATGAAAGAATGTGAAACCCATAATGTTAATTATATTATGATGTTAGCACGTTGACTTGTAACGGCGACATGTTGTTGAACATTAGGATTAATCGGAAATTACCAAATCTAAACTAGCAGACAACGTGTTCACTTTCATTTTTTAATTATGCAATACTAAATAGAATAATAAATAAAAAGACAGCCATTAGATATTATAACGATGTAAAATCATATGTTCGTATAGTTATCTCAATAATCTTACTGGTATACTCTTACTGTGATTTGCGACTTTGTCAAAAGGAATTAAATAACCGGATCGGTCTCAATTTTTCATAGCTGAATTCCAGCATTCAAAACTCATAGACAGATAAAATAAATATTTAATTCTTATTAGTTTACACAAGAAAACTGATTCACTATATTAACACTTCAATTGAGGGTCACAAATCGGAAATCTACAATTATAATTATAAATCCGCGTCCTTACATCTTTTGGTGATAATTGCATCCAATATCTAAAATTTTATCAAACTTGTATTTATTAGACACCACTCTATGGAGTATGCAATCGCCACTACTTAATTAATTCATAAGTAACAATGGAAATTGAAAGTATAAACAGATATTTAATATGAAAGATTCTTGAAAAAAAATTATTCGATTTCGTTATCTTGCCATGTTGTATCCTATAATTAACTAAATTTCAGGCAGAGCAGAACACACAGTGTAGGTTTGCCGGCACGGACGTCATTATTTCCTGAACCACCACCAACCGGAAACGATGTCGCACCTCCCATACCACGTCGCCATTCTGCAACTCCAACGGTATCTCTTTAATGTAATTCGGCTGTAATTTCAGGCTACTCTAGAAAATTTCATTTCTCATCTTTCTGTTGCTTGAGCTGCCTTGTAATTGTCTTTCACTTATTTTATCAAGTTTTGTAATCGCTCTGTGATTCACACAATCGTAAAATATAGTTTACCTTTAGTTAGACTACATCTTACTCTAACGAGTGTCACATCATTGCATCTAACGAGAAACCTTTGGTAAGTGTCCACCTCGGATTTTTTTCTTTTTCACATATGTTGTAGTAGTCGATAAACTAAGCGACATGTATTTTTTCTTATCGGTCCAAATTGGGTTTTTGGGGGTGAAAACCGCCTTCGAAAATTGTGGAACTAAACACCCATTTAATTATTTCATATATAACAGCGGTATCTTTCACAATGAAACCAACTGGAAAAATTTCCTCACAATGAGATATCAAAAATGTGATTTTCTCAAATTTTTCAAAATCATTTGTAAGGGGGTGAACTACTCCAAAAACTATTTTGGATTATACAATACAACCATAAATGCAGTTCACTGTTGGTATGTTTTCATAAAATAAATGAACTTATATTAGGCACTCAAATTACATTTGAAATAAATTTTTCCCAACGTAAGGCGTCTTCTAAAAGTTTTAACTTATGTAACGCAAAAACACATAAAGTTTATTTATTTATCGCGAGCAACATATATTTTTTCCAAATTTTTTGGCGCGAATTTACGCCTGTTCGGCATTTTTTTATATAATGAAAAATAATTTTGGGATAGTTCACCCCCATAAAAATTATTCGACAAATTTGAGAAAATCACATTTCTGATCTCTCGTTGTGAGGAAATATTTTCAGTTGGTTTCATTGTGAAAGATAACGCTGTTACCTGAGAAATAATTAAATGGGTGTTTAGTTCCACAATTTTGGGGGGCGGTTTCACCCCCCCCCCCCCAAATTTGGACCGATAAGAAAAAATACATGTCGCTTAGTTTATCGACTACTACAACATATGTGAAAAAGAAAAAAATCCGAGGTGGACACTTACCAAAGGTTTCTCGTTAGATGCAATGATGTGACACTCGTTAGAGTAAGATGTAGTCTAACTAAAGGTAAACTATATTTTACGATTGTGTGAATCACAGAGCGATTACAAAACTTGATAAAATAAGTGAAAGACAATTACAAGGCAGCTCAAGCAACAGAAAGATGAGAAATGAAATTTTCTAGAGTAAATACGTGTCGTTTAGTTTATCGACTACTACAAGACATATGGAAACGAAGAAAATCAGAGGCGGGCACCTACCAAATGTTCCTTGTAAGTTCATCAATATACTACTATAAATTTCCATCTTCTTTGCTTTCATCACATACGAATGATATCTTACGTATATTTTGAATGTTAATAGTGCATGCCGATCTATACTGCAAAATCCTTTCTTGTATTATTGGTTGTATACCTATGAAATGTCTCTGTATTTTATTAAGGCAATATAAATCTTACATTGTATACAATTAATTATTTAAGTACATTAAATAGCTAAATCAGCGAATATTTTTAATTGATTCAATTTCGCATGATTTTCATGAAATGAAAAAAATTGTCTATCGATGTTAGTTTCAACGTTTTTGTCCTTACTTTTTTCTATTCTAAAATTGAACTATTGAATGAATATATTTTAAATAAACAATGTTAAAGATAAGTGCTTTTCTGGCATTAAAATTTATAGTTGATAAATGAATGTTTTCAAGAATGTTTTCAAGAATGTATGGTGATAGTGCTGAATAGTTGAATTTTCAGATAAAGGAAAGTTTTAACTTGAGCGTCGTAACACAAGTCATAATATTTGTTTACATATTCTTCTACACGACATTTTAATAACAACGAAATAAAAAAAATTCATCTGTGGACATGTGATACGGGTGATGTGTGTGAATTTACTGTTTTTAACAGTTAAAGATACGAACATAAATATATAGATGCAGCCAAAGGTAATTGTGAAGACTTAATTAAATACGAATGAGAATAAGGTTCATTGGCTAATATACATTGTGACTTAATTCTGGGATCAACTAGAACCCAGGTCAGTCGCAAGAACATCAATCGCAAAAGGGAAGGGTAAGCAAAAGAATGGAACATGGGGTCTAATGCAAAAGAATATAATTACTGCAGGTTATAATTGCCGGTACAAAGAAAAAAAAAAAGAGAAAGTAGACTAATAAAAAATAACAGAATTCGAAATACGCAATACGAAACTAAACTAGGTAACCGAAACAATAGTAAGAAGGGAGCTTGCTTAGGAGCACGAAGTGTCGCAACGGAACTGGGATTTTCAAACGGGTCGGTGGAACGGGGAGTCGAGAAAGTAGGGATGGAATGGTAGTCAAGGGGGGTAGGTCGGAAAGGAGGAGTTACCGTCACTAAATAATTTTGAAAAACGATACTTAGGCGCCAGCTACTGTCACGGTATAGCACCGTCGAGTGACCTCTGAAGATCCTCGAATATTTACTCTAGTTGACTCCATAGCACGGCTAACAGGGGGGTGGAGGGGTATATCTTAGGGGGCAGATTCCGGAACGCAACGGTTTCTTAGTATTTACCTCGGATTTTCGAAATCAAAAAGGCGAAGGTGGGGTGGGGAGAGAAAAGGGTTAACAAATCCGAACGCAATACATTACTCGACCCACGTGCGACGGTTGGGAAAAACCCAGAAGGGAACTATAAAATATAAAAGGGGCGCAAAAGAAAAGGGCAAGAGAGAAAAGGGAAAAAGGGGAAGTCAACAAAATATTTAAAGAACTCACTCAAATGATCCGCAACACATGATAATCCAAAATCGCACTCTGACTTAAAGGTGTTAAATTCGCAAAGCTCCCACATTCGCACTGAACGCCTGGCTTGATGTGAAGAAGTCTTCATTGTTTTCGGTCCTCATTTCCCTTGGTGGGTCTCCAGGGCCTCGGGGATTTGTTGGACCACTGGACTGAGAGGGCTACGCGCTTCGGCATTTTTCCGCAGTTCGGGCATGACAAGGCTCTGGTGCTTTTGATCAGCACGGTCCGGGCAGTCCTCCCAGGGCCTCGCTGCGTCGTGGTACAGTGCTGGGTTCCCGCCGGTGCGCCGGGAAAGATGGTGGCCTCCATGACCTATCAAAATCTCCACCTGGTTGTATCCGCGAAGTTCTAGGAAGGGGGCTCCACCGCTGTCACACGGATCTGGTGACTACTCGTGTGACGGGATTGTACCGGGTGCTGCATCCATATGTGGTCAGGGTGACTGGCCGACTATTAGGCCTCAATCTCTCTTTGGTGGTCTCAATCAGTGTTTATCCTGCCCATGCCTTCCCCGTATACCGCTGCCTCGACAACGTAGTCACTCTCTCTTCATTCTCAACTTTAGTGGCTGCTCCTCGTACATGGTCTTCGCTGCTTCCGAGCTAATACCGTAGGGAATGAGAAGGGGATGGAGGAGTGAGGAGAAGGGGCCTTATCCTAATTGCAATATCCTTAAAACACTAAAATATACAATACATAATATTATTCGCAATTATTCTCCAGGCAACTGGTGCCCTCAAGCCAAATGGTGGGGAGGAGTTCATAATAACATTTTTATTACAATATATAGAAAGATATAATGCAGTGAATCAATACATCAATTAATAGTATCGTCACACTACTGAATAGGAAAAGTGACTTGGCTTTATGAAAACAATGGTCAGTTTAAAAAGTATGTTAAGTGCTTTAGGAAAATGTTGGTTGTCGTTCGTCAATGCTTACGAAGATTAAAATAAGCTGTGTAGATAGGATACTATATGATCGATTTAAAAAATAAGAATATTTCCACGGAATAGTTTTTTGGTTTAAAAAAACTTATATCATTGGGAAAGGGCGCATTGCCGCGCTGAAATTTACACGATGATCAGTTCAAGAGCCTCGGTCGAGTACAGGCAACCCGCCGTACGGGGCACGGCCCCCCGAGACTCTTTACTCGAAGCATCTCTTGTACCTGTGTTTCGACTCAAATATCTTATGAACGGCTGTATGTGAGAAAAATGTATTAATACATTCATTCTAGGAATCAAGGGTTCTGAATTGATTGCCAGCAAATTCAATACGATTCGTGTACGGGATCAGGACGTATTCACATGGCTAGCGTGATGATTTTATTTCAGGTCCGTCGTCATCGTCGTCGTCGTCTTCGCACGTCCATCGCATTTTTTACACGACAGATGACGCTGACAGTTGTGCCTTCTTTACCTATTTGTACTCTGTATGGTGTTAGTAATTTACGAATACACAACACAATCAAATACACTTTATACGCGAAGCTACCGTTCATACCGAATTTCCAGTTAGTATAAGGGTGTTTTTACAACAGTATGGAATTATTCAGTTTTTAATAGCATTCATGTGGAGCGGGCGTATATGGGTGTATGTATATCTATGTATGCTTCGGCATAGTTCCTCATATTTTAGGTGACAGTTTTTAGAAATATAGGAAGTCCAGGTGTTCCTCTCCGTAGTTTCCTGTGTCCAGGTGTCGCATATATAATAGGCAAACATGTAGTGACTTATGTACTTGGTATCAATAATCTGATATCAATACGTTTTATTAGAGGAATACACGGCACTCCTGTACTTGGCGTAGTTTTTTACATGTAAGTGTCTTTTGGGGGATTATAGTATAGACTGACTGGTTTAAGAAAGAATTGTCTGATTTAGAAAGATATTCATCATTTGAGAAAATGACATCTTGGTTAGTGAGCAAACTGGTCAATTTCGGAAGACGTTAACTTCAGATTTGAAATAAACTGGCTGATTTTGGAAATTTTTATTGCTATTGAAGAGAAACAGGTTTGTTTATAAAGCGAGAATTTTATTAAAAAATTATAATTGATTTAGAAGTAATTTGGTGTTATTATAAAATATTCGTTAGGACTAGAAATTATCTAACTGATTTTAGAAAGAATGATCGATTAAAATATACGTTAATCAATTTTAAAACATA